GCCGCAAGCTGGAACGCCAGCACACTCGAGTCCACCTCGTGGTACGAACCCTCTGGGAAAAAGAAGCAGGGGGGGGGGGGGGGGGGAGGGAGGGAGGGACATGGACGGGGGAAAGGGGGGCTTAGCGTTTCGATTGAGCCCATGCCATCCTTGAATGCCCCACGTGCCGCCAGCTGGAACGCCAGCACGCTCGAGTCCACCTCGTGGTACGAGCCCTCTGGGAGGGTAGCGCGTGGAGGAAGAGATTGGGTAAAGGAGGAGGGATTAGGATTACGTGAGAAGGTGGTGGGAAGGTGGAGGGTTGGGGGAGGGGTGGGTGAATGACGGACGGGGTCAGCTTGCGGCAGTTTGGGGCAAAATGGGGAAGGTTGCGGCAGGTAGGGGGAGGGGAATGTGTGGAGGGAAGCGGGAAGGAAGCTAGAAAATCCACCTTGTCATGTACGTACCAATGAGAGTGGCGCGCACGTCGACCACAGGGAAGCCAGCGAGCACGCCGCTGCCCATGCACTCCTCCAGTCCCTTCACCACGCCCGGCACATACTCCTTGGGCACCGTGCCGCCCTTGATCTCGCTCTTAAACTCGTACCCGCTGCCCGGCTCCAGCGGCTCGAACTTAATCACCACTTCCGCGAACTGGCCCTGCCCGCCCGACTGCTTCTTGTGCGTGTACTTAACCTCCACCGGCCGGCCAATACTCTCGCGGTAGTTGACCTGCGGCGCGCCCACATTCGCGTCCACCTTAAACTCGCGCTTCAGCCTATCAACAATAATCTCCAGATGCAGCTCTCCCATCCCCTCAATGACCGTCTGATTCGTCTCCTCGTCGCGAGAGAAGTGGAACGACGGGTCCTCTTGCGCAAGCTTGATCAGACCGTTCGCCATCTTGTCCACATCCGCCTTGGTCTTGGGCTCGATCGCGACCTTAATGACTGGGTCGGGGAAGTCCATGCGCTCCAGGACAACCGGCGCGTCAGGGTCGCACAACGTTTCGCCCGTGATCGTATCCTTGAGCCCTGCGAGCGCGATAATGTCGCCCGTGCGCGCGATCTTAACATCCTCGCGCGAGTTCGCGTGCATCTCTAGCAGCCTCCCAATCCGCTCCTTGCGGTTCTTATTCGCGTTCATCACGTACGTCCCGGCCGTCAGCACGCCCGAGTAAACCCGCACGAACGTCAGCGAGCCCACAAACGTGTCCGTCATGATCTTAAACGCGAGCCCGGAGAAGGGAGCGGAGTCGCTAGGGGGGCGGTCGAGGGCCTTCTCGGGGTCCTCCGGGTCGGACCCCTTCATGGGCGGTAGGTCGAGCGGGGAGGGGAGGTAGTCGATGACTGCGTCCAGCAGCGGCTGCACGCCCTTGTTCTTGAACGCCGTACCGCACAGCACCGGGACGAACGCCGACGCGATCGTGCCCTTGCGGATGAGGCGCTTGAGAGTGGCTTCGTCCGGCTCCTCGCCCTCCAGATACGCCTCCATCGCGTCGTCGTCCTGTGGTCGGGGAACGAGGGGGAACGACGAGGGTGAAGGAGGGTGAAAGGGGAAGGGGGTATTTAAGGCGCTTCAGAGAGGCTTCGTTCGACTCCTCGCCCTCCAGAAATGCCTCATCGCATCGTCGTCTTCCAGAGGGGAGAGCGAGAGGAGTGTGTGTGGGCGGGTGGAGCACGAAGGGCGGTTGCAAAGGCGGATCCGGAAGGCAAACGAGGTGGTGAGTAATAGGGCAGCCGGGGGACGGGTTAGAGGGGCAGACCACGACGATTGATTAGAGTAGTTGATTAAAAAATCTTTCGCTCCCTGAATTCTCGACCTCCCCTCACCACCCTTCACCCACCACCTTACGCGCACAACCCTCTGCCCACCACCTCCACCAAATAATCCCTCCCCTTCACTCACCAGCTCAACGACCGACTCGACGAGCTGCGCGCGGTACTCGGCGGCCTTGTCCTGCAGGTCCTCGGGAATGTCGCGGTACTCGAACGCGGCGCCGAGCTCCTCGCCGGTCCACACGATGGCCTTCATGCGCACGAGGTCCACGACGCCCTGGAACGCGTCCTCCGCGCCGATGGGCAGCTGCAGCACGAGCGGGTTGGCGCCCAGGTTGCTCACGATCATGTCGCGCGTGCGGTAGAAGTTGGCGCCCAGCCGGTCCATCTTGTTCACGAAGCAGATCCGCGGCACTCCGTACTTGTCCGCTTGCCGCCACACCGTCTGGGGGGAGGAAGAGGCGGGGGGAATTGGGGGGGAGGAAGAGGCGGGGGGAATTGGAGGGGGGAGGAAGAGGCGGGGGGAATTGGGGGGGGAGGAAGAGGCGGGGGGAATTGGGGGGGGAGGAAGAGGCGGGGGGAATTGAGGGGAGAGGAAGAGGCGGGGGGAATAGGGGGGGGAGGAAGAGGCGGGGGGAATTGGGGGGGGAGGAAGAGGCGGGGGGGGGGAGAGAGGCGGGAGGAGAAGAGGCGGGGGGGAGAAGGGGCGGGTGGGGCACGGGGGGGAGAGAGGGAATGTGAACAGAGAGGTTGAACGTGCGAACGGACAGTGCACCCGAGGCAGGGCGAACCTGACGTACCTTGGGCAAAGAGCGTATCGGGCAGGGCAGATTCGGGATGTGCACACATGAGCCCCCCGGGCGGGTCATATCTGGGGCAGGTCGTATCTGGAGCAGGTCGTACCTCGGATTGGGGCTCGACGCCGGCGACGGAGTCGAAGAGGCAGATGGCGCCGTCGAGCACGCGCAGAGCGCGCTCCACCTCGAGCGTGAAGTCGACGTGGCCGGGCGTGTCGATGATGTTGATGCGGTGGTTGTTCCACATGCACGTCGTCGCCGCCGATGTGATCGTGATGCCGCGCTCTTGCTCCTGCGAGCGGGGCGGGGCGGGGCGAGGCAGGAAGGGAGGGGGGAGGGGAGGGGGGGGGGGGGGGTGGGGAGGGGAGGGGGGAGGATCGGGAGAAAGAGGGGGGGAGTGGGAAGGAGTGAGGCGCGGAGTGCACGGTCAGGCGGAGCCATGGGCATGAGAGGTGTGACGCAGTCTCTTTATGTCTTGAAAACCCACGAGAAGACATTTCGAGTCGAGAAAAGAATCGGAGCCATGAATATTCGGGTGTGACAGAGTCCAGTCATGTGTTGGAACACCACGAGTCGATTCGAGAAAGAGTGGGTCCAGAGGCGGTGGTCGCACGTGGTTCGGGAAACTAATCAAGGTGTTGTTTCGTATTCCACAGCCGTAGTCGCAGCCGAATCCAGTGCAGAAGCTCACCTGCTCCATCCAGTCCACGGTGGCGGTGCCCATAACCCCGTCCTTCCGTAACAAACGCGTGAAGAGACCCTGTTTAGGCGTCGAGTCTCACCTGCTCCATCCAGTCCATGGTGGCGGTGCCCTCGTGCACCTCGCCGATCTTGTAGTTCTTGCCTGTGTAGAACAGCACGCGCTCCGTCGTCGTCGTCTTGCCCGCATCGATGTGCGCCATGATGCCGATGTTGCGGTAGTCCTCCAGCGGCACCTGTCGGCCTGCGCGAGGCACATATATGACATTGTACATGGTACGACTTTGCGGATAATGAGGCACATTATAACGCGTCGACATGCACCATGATGCCGATGTTGCGTTAGTCCTCCAGCGGCACCTCCCCACCTGCAGGACGCACACGCAACAGTGTACAAGAAGCGAATCGTTCAGAGTAATGAGGCTGCTTATGACGCGTCGAAGTGCGCCATGATGTCAGGTTGCGGTAGTCCTCCTGCAGTACCTGCGGGCCTGCACCAGTCCTCATATGGCGTTGCGCGTTCGCACATTGCATCTGACGTAGGTCCACGACTGTTAACGCCTAGAAATCGTGCGCCTCAATTTTATGGTCTGCAAAGCATTGATCCAGCATGTGACATGGTCGTCGCCTACGACCTTACGCGATTCACGGGGTTGCCGAAGCCCCCGGGACGAGCCACGTGGCGGACTAGTATGACTCGAATGGTATCCTATTCGCAAAGTTCGAGCACGGGACGCACATCCTTTCAGCCAATCAGAGTCTCAAGCCGAGCCCGCACGCACCTCCCTCGGCCATGCAGATCACGGGGGAGCGTCCAGCGGCGACTGATCGCGACACGGTCCGCATCTTGCGGTCAGCAGACTTCTTCGCCTGAGAGGCCTTGGCAGCGCCGGGAAGGTCCTTGCCCGCCTTGAGGCCCACGAACGGCATCGCAACAGCCGCATTGCTCGATGCGACCGTGGCGGACCTGTCGCCTGCGACGGGTGCTGCGACGCTGCTGGCGACCTTTAGAGGACAGCTGGCGAGTGACGACGCCATGTTTCGCTGTTGGCGACGAAATAAGCTTCGCTTAGGGAGCGCTGTGATAAGGGCTTCTAGGAACGCGGCCCTGACTGAAATCGCTGGGAGAGCGATTACACCAGCGGAAAGTAACGAGCAACAATGGAGGGTTTGGGAGACAAGGGAATCTCGAGTGGTTGCAGCAACGCTGGTGTTGTGGTGAGCATGTCAGGGGGAGGAATGTTGGAGCGATGCGCGATTGCAATGTGGCGGGCTGCAATCCCAAAGGTCAGTGGATAGAATTCGCGTGGCCAAGCGAGGTGTCAACGCTGGCACAGTATCGCCACGCTGTCTGTTACAGCGTTACAAGATGAGGAGCTTAGACGTGGGCTATTGCCCACCTCGGCATGGAAATTTGTGTTTGAAGCATTCTGGGTACACCGTGGCGCTCAGAGTATCCTCCACGTCGGCAAAATGGCCAGAGCGTTGCGGCGCGAAGTCAAGGTGCGTGGAATAATGATGCCACGTCTCACCATACGTAGGAACAGAAAGAGGTGGGGCACAACGATACGCGATATACGAACTGCTACGATTAGAATTTCGTAAATGTGGAAACCAGATGCAAACATCAATTAGGTAACAGCAGAATGTGATTTATGACTTGCAAACAAGCGTAGAAATAATGACCACATCCACCTTGTTATTGACAGTACGATACTTTGTTAGATCTGTACTTCCTTCCACATCATCAGCCTCTGAGTGGAGTTCTTGCGCCACCCCCCCTTTCAGCCCCTCCAGCTCCCCACCCTCCTCCCGACCCACCACCACCACTCCCAGCTCCCCATCCCCCTCCTCCCCCTCCCTCGCCACCCCAACCACCTGCATTCTGCCACCCACTCCCACCACCATCCCCAGATTGCCACACTTGCCCCCCTCCCTGCTCCCCCCCACCTCCCGCACTCCACGCCCCTCCTCCCCATCCAAGCTTCTCCCCACCTCCTCCCCCCACAGCCCCCCAACCACCCGACCCAGCCTGGTCCCACCGACCACCCCTCCCCCCTGCCGGTATCGGGGGTGGCGGGGGCAATGCCAAACCACCACCACCACCACCACCAGAAGCTCCTCGGCGCGGCGTCTCTCTTTTCCCACCACCCCCGCCCGCACCCCCATCGCCACCCTCCACCGGATCATTAAAATGCGCCTGGAAATACTTCACCAGTCGGTCCGGCGTTGGGAACGTGTGCTTCCGGAACCGAAACCCTTCAGGGGAAACCGTGATATACTCGTGCACGGGGCGGCCGGAGACAGAAGCAGAGCGGATATAAGTGAGCATGAAGGCGCCAGGGTGGTCATGCGAGAGGGAGAGGTAGTAGGGGATGCGGGCAGGCTCGCGCTCCTTGTCGGTGCGCACTAGAGCGTCCATGTCGCCTTTGGATCCGAGGCGGAACTTGCGGTATGCCGCCATGTCCCGCATGCGCGCTGCCAAGGGCTCAATGTACCGTGCCATCACCTGGTGGAGAGGGGTGGGGAGCGGTGGAGTGGGGTGAAAAGGGGTGGTGAGGAGCGTCCATGTCGCCTTTGGAGCCGAGGCGGAACTTGCCGCCATGTCCCGCACCAAGCTGCTAGCGGCTCGATGTACCGCGCCATCACCTGGTGCGGAGGGGTGGAGCGAGGGGTTGAGAAGAGTGAGAAGGGGTGAAGAGAGAGGGGACGTATGAGAGGGAGAGGTGGTCAGGCAGGGAGGAGTAAGTGATGAGAAATAGAAACGATGCAAAGATGAGAGAGGGTGCAGCTGAGGAGAGGCAGGGGCATGAACGTCTCTTTACCCATCCAGCCTCCACCCTTCACCGCGGCTCACCTCATCCAAGTCTTCGTAGCTCTCGTCCCCAATGGTGAGAGTGCGGCCGAGGCGCAGGAAGCTGGTGGCGCTGGTGCGGTCCTTGCCGCCCTCGTGCACATCCACGTGTGTGAAGGCCCCGCCCGGTAGCTTCATGGTGATGCTGAGATGCGTGGGGCCGCGGCTGCTGGGACGAATCACCACACTGCCCACGTCCTTGTCTGCCAGGACCTGTGGTGGTGGTGTGTGTTGGCATGTGTGAGATTGATACACAAGGGGAGGACCGAGCGCATGAACACCCAATTCAGCAGCTTCATGGTGATGCTCAGATGCGTGGGGCCGCAACTGCCGGGCCGAATCACCACACTGCCCAGCAGCACACTGTCCGCCAGGACCTGAAGTGTTGACATGAGGAAAATGCACGGGGGAAAAGGCATACAGTGGGGGAAGAACGTGTGCGTGAGGGCAGTGTCCGTCTGGCAGCTTCATGGTGCCTGGCAGGGCTGAGGGTCGGCATTCTGACGAGGCTGGACCGAACCTGGCCGCTCCCCGGTTGGCTTGCCAACGAAGGCTGGTTCGGGCTGGGCTGGGATGGAGGGGGTGGGCCCTGGCCCAGGCTGTGCTCTTGAGTCGACTCAAAAGCATGATTAAAACCATGGCGCACCTTCTTAGCGCCTTCCAGCGACACATTGTGGAAGAGCGGGTAGGTGATCATGCGGGGGCGGAAGGCTGTTTTGCGCTTCTCCTCCTCCTTGCGCTTCCTCTCCTCCGTTGCCGCCTGCTCCTCCTGCTCCACGGCAGCGCGCTGGTAGTACGGGTCCCACTGCCGCATCTCCCTCCACTCGCTGCTCCTCAGATCGCTGCCCTTGCATGTTAGGATCACCTGCGCTTGTGGTAGGGGGCGGGTGGGAGGTGGAAGATGATGGGAGGTGGTAGTAATGGGAGGTGGGAGATGGGAGACGGGAGGAGTGGAATGGGGAGAGGGACAAATGCAACGCGAGGCTGGGGGGAAGCAGTTGATAAAGAGGCAAGTGGAAGAGAAAACCAAGCAGGGACGCGGCAGTCATGAGAAACCCCCAAGCCCACACACACATTGAACCCTTCCAACTCTCACACACATCCCCCCTCTTTCCTCACCCTTTTTCTTCCCCTCACACACACCTTAGCCTCCTCCGTTTTGACTTCCTTGATGCGGCAGGTCAGCGGCTGCCCCTCGCTCACCACATCCCTCAACTCCACATTCGAATTGTCACTGAAGTCCGGTTGGTCTTTGAGACACAAGAAACAATTGTGCGGCGCCCAGTAAATCCTCCCATCTCACCTTAGCTTCCTCTGTCTTCACTTCCTTGATGCGGCATGTGAGCGGCTGCCCCTCGCTCACCACATCCCTCAGCTCCACATTCGGGTCGTCACTGAAATCCCTCCGGTCCACCTCGCCCAGCACACCGCTCTCCAACGCACACAACACCTTGAACTTCAGCACGCGCTTCACCGTCGCAGTCACCACCTTCCCCACCGCAAGACTCTCCTCCGTCTCCCCACTCAGCAGCCAGAACTGCTCGTCCGCATTCAGCGACTCAAACTGAACCCGGCACTCAGCAAATCCGTGCATGAGCTCGCGGCGAATCAGCAGCAGCTTCTCCTTCAGCCCGCCCTGCCCCTTCCGAGCCAGCATCACCGCGTAGTCCTCGAAATCGAGCCTGCGGATCAGGTCCGGGTTGTCCCGAGCCTCGAGGACCACATCTATGCCGCGCTCCTCCACGCTGTGCGGCGTCATGCCGCGGTGGGCCTCGCAGTAGCCGTCTGTTGCCACTTTGAGCGCCAGACGGTAGTCTGCCGGGTGAATTCGTGAATCATCCAGCATGTCATCTTGCCCTCTCACCCGGATGAATGCTGCTGCGTTGATGAACACGACCTGAGGAAGAGAGGGAAGCAACAGGAATCCAAGGGTGAACCAGTCATGCTGCGGTGTGCCTCGCAGTACCCATCAGTGGCCACCTTGAGCGCCGGGTGGATCCGGGAGTCATCCAACATGTCATCTTGCCCTCTCACTCTAATTAATGCTGCTGCATTGATGAACACAACCTGCGGGGAGGTTTGGGGGGGAGAAACCGGGGCAGAGAGGAGGGTGGGAGGAAGAAAAAATAGAAATGATCTCTGCCTTACTCTCGCACGTCGTCCTGCCCTCTCACTCAAATGAACGCCGCTGCGCTTAAAAACACAACCTGCAGACGAGAGGGGGGCAACAGGGTTCCAAGGCTGAATCAAGTCATGCCTCGGTGTGCCTCGCCGTAGCCATCAGTGGCCACCAGTGGCGCCGAGCGCCAGGCGGTAGTCTGCTGGGTGGATTCGTTTCGTGAATCATCTAGCATGCTGTCCTGGCCTCTCACTCGACTGAGACAACCTGGAACGGAGGGAGAGAACAGGTGTCTAAGGAATGATTAGGGAAATCAGGGCGCACATCGTCTTGCTTTCTGACGCGGATGAATGCAGCAGACCACCTGCGGGAGGGACAGTTGGGGATACGTGACGAGTGAAAAGAGGGGGACAAGCGTGAGAAGGGGACAGCATGCACAGGAAAGGGGTGGGGGACGAGAACAGAGGGAAGGGGCAGTTGGGGGGCGGCGCACCAAGGCATGGGCAGGAGCACTTACAAGAATATCACAGGGCAAGGGCAGGGCGGGTGACGAACCTGGTCGAGCAGGAAGGGCGGGTCGATGAGGTCCTTGCGGCGCCGCACCACGCCCTCCCCCAGTATGCGCACCTGATGGGGGAGGTAATAAGGGCAAGGGGTGAGGTGAGGAAGAAAGTGCAGGATTTTGGAACCAGATTTCATGGAAGGGCGGACGGCGAAGGGAGGCGCTGTAGCATGCCCCTTCAAAGAGCACCCTTATCGGGTGGTGAGGAAAGTGTGGGGGAGAGTGGTGAAGGGGAGAGAGGCGAGGGGGGGATCAATAAGGAGAAGTACATCGAATCGAGCATGCGAGACAATGGGAGCAAGAGAGGAGTGGAGGAGAGACAAGGGGGAAAGGCCGGCAGGTGCGGTGAGGGAGAGCGAACGGGGCACAAGGCGCATCGGACACGGACGAGGGTGGGAGGCGAAGAGACTCATGACTCACTTTAAGCGTGGAGGCCTTTCTGGGTCCGAGGCCGCACACGAACTGCAGCGGTGCAAAGAGCCAATCCTGCGCCTCCTGTGCCGCATAGTTCACATCCACTCCCACCTGGCAGCACAGTGAGAGGAAGGAACAGGTGAGGGTGCATGGGGGTGATTTATGCATGACTGTTCAGCAGACTCAACAGTTGCTTGCTTTTTGAGGCGCCTCAAAACTCAACAGTTGCTTGCGCCTGTGCATGTGCGTGTGCACACCCACCTGGCAGCACGTGACTGCGGCGGTCAAAGGGTGAACCTTAGCTGGTAACCTTACTAGCTGGTAACTGCACAGTTCCCACCTGGTTGGTGACGGTAACCATGACGCGTTCAAGCGCGTCGTACACGTCATCAGGCGGCAGCAGGTCCTGAGAGCGGTGGAACTTGGCAGATAGCACCTCCCTCGCCGGCCCAAACAGACACGCCGCCAGCGCCAGCCGGTTCTGCATATAGCGCCCGAGCCCTACCGTGCGCCGCACTATGCCTGAAAAAGGGTGGGGCGTGGGATGGAAAAGGGTGCATGCATGTACTGTCCTCCCGCCAGCGCCAGGCGGCTCTGCATGTAGCGCCCGAGTCCCACCGTGCGCCGCACTATGCCTGCTGGGGGGCCAAGGGGAAAGAGTGGGTGGAAGAGCGGTGTAACTTGGCAGATAGTTATGTTGACATCACTTTTGAGAATTCTCGAAATCACTTTTGAGAATTCTCGAAATCACTTTTGAGAATTCTCGAAATCACTTTTGAGAATTCTCGAAATCACTTTTGAGAATTCTGAAAAATGAGTGGTGGAACTTGGCAGAGACCACCTTGGTGGCCCAAACAGGCAGGCTGCAAGAGCCAACCCATTCTGCATGTAAAGCTCGAGCCCTACTGTGCGCCGCACTATGCCTGGTGGGAGGGGGTGGGTGTTGGGGAGAGCGGGGACATGGTTGGGAAAAGGGTGTATGTATGTATGTACCACCGTGTGTCGCACTATGCCTGGTGGGAATGGGAGGGGTGGGCTGGAGGGGGCTTGCTTGCCTCCCCACTCTTTCTCACACCACTCCATCTAACTCCTTCATCCTCGCCTCATCCCCTTCCTTCCAGGGCTCTCTCGTCTAAAAAGCTTTCCACATTGAGGGAATGCTCACAAGTGTTACGGCGTGACATATGCCTGCCTGAGCTGCACAGGGTGCGAGTGCTTGCCTGGCTGCGAGGGCAGGTGCTCCTGCGAGATGGCGGAATTCTCGTACAGCAGCGCGAGTGTCTCGTCTTGAAACACCACCTGGTGCATGAGGAAGAGAGGGTGCAGGAGGCCAGAGAGGGAGCGAGGAGGCTGTGAGCTTACATGCACAGATGCAAGGCAGCCGTGAGCTGACAGTTTCCAGCACAGATGCAAGGCAGCCGGTCAATGAGTGCAGTGAGGGTGTGGTCGGCCAGCCAGGTGACTTTTGAGTCGACTCAAAAGTCACCTCGGGAGGCCAGAGAGGGAGCGAGGAGGCTGTAAGCTTGCATGCACAGATGCAGGGCAGCCGGTGAATGAGTGTAGTGAGGGTGTGGCCGGCCGGCCAGTGAGGGGTCGTCGGAGAGCGAGAACAAAATGAAGGCGAGGTGGGGGGTGGAGGCAGGCAGTGGGCAGTGGGCAGTGGGCAGTGGGCAGTGGGCAGTGGGCACGACTTGGGCCACAGGAGGCAGAGGAGAGAGAAGGAGGATGCAGGTGCTGCCATGAGCTGACAGTTTTCAGAAGTTGTACAGTTAATCAACCACTTCAACAGGCACGAGCACGGGGGAACACGTCACAGCAGCAAGGAGGCACTTACACGGACGTGAGATCATGCCATTTCAACAGCAGCACTCACACGGACGTTGTCGACATCAGATGTGAGGTCGCGAGGGAAGTGCTCCACGATCTTGAATATCACCTGGTGGGGTGGGCCGGGGCGCGAGGAGGAGGGGCGCAAGGGAGGAGGCATGCAAGTGAAGTGAGCGAGCCGTGAGAGGCAGGGCTGATGTTGTGAGGGCAGTGCTCCACGCTGTGAAAATCACCTGGTGGGCGGGAGGAGGGAGGAAAGGAGGGATGCGATGGGAGGACGAGTGGAGCTGAATGTCTGAGCCAACAGGGAATGCCAGAGGGGAAGGGTTGAGGGAGAAGCAAGCGGCGCAGGAGGGCTAGAAACTAAACAGAGTTACCGTGTCATTGAGAGTAGCAAGCTTTACTGTCTGTCTGTCCTGATCGTTGCACCCACATGCGCACATCCCCCACGCGCGCCCCAACCCCAACCCCCAGCCCAGCAGCCCACGCACCTCCCATCAGTGCATATCCCATTCGGCCCAATCACCACCACACTTGCCTCCCAGATCTCGTCTTTGAGCCTTTCGCAAGTGAGGTAGGCCCCGCCCACAAGTGAGGTAGGCCCCGCCCACAAGTGAGGTAGGCCCCGCCCACAAGTGAGGTTGGCCCCGCCCACAAGTGAGGTTGGCCCCGCCCACCACCACGACATGCGGCTTGTGCTCCTTCACAAACGCCATCAGCCGCCGCTCATCCTCCCACATACATGCCCACATATCCCAGCATGCACATGTTATACAACCCACATTCTTTCACGCACCTCCCAGATCTCATCTTTCAGCCGTTCACACGCAAGGTTAGCCCCGCCCACCACCACGACATGCGGCTTGTGCTCCTTCACAAACGCCATCAGCCGCCGCTCATCCTCCCGCTTCTTCATCACCATCACCTGCTGCTCGCCCCCTCCCCCTCCCCCTCCCCCCGCCCCCCCCCGCTCCACCCATGCCCCCCCCTGCGCCCCCCCCCAGTGCTGCAGCGTCCCCTTTAGGCTGGCCGGTGCGAGCACAGAGGAAGCCGGTATGGAGAAAGTCCACCATCTCCCCTGCGGCGTTCAGCATGGCAAAGGTGGTCGCGGGGTTACCAGGCCCCCAGCAGCACGCCATCACTCGCAGCCACGGCTGCCCCCCTCCCCCGTGCTCCTCCCCTCCCCCATGCCTCCCGCCCCTCCCCCCGCCGCCCCGCATGCCCCCTCCCCCGCCCCCGCCCATCCCTCCGCCCCCACCCCCCCCCGCCCCCTTCGCCCGGACGTCAAAGGGGGCGACGGAGACGTGTTTCCAGAGGGCGAGAGCGCACTGCTCGGCTACGAATGCCTTGGCGCGGCCGGTGAGCAGCAGGCGCGTCTCCTTGTGCATCGTCGGCAGCAAGCGGGCGGCGATCGCCGCCCGGAGAATGGTGCGGCGCTGCTCGTTCCATAGCGAGGCGAAGTGCGAGACGCCGTCTGAGAGGTAGGCTGCTTCAAACTCCTGAGGGAACGGAGGAGAGCCGGGGTGCAGGAAGTGGGCAAATGCGGGTTGGCATGCGATGAGCGAGGCCACGTGGGAGATGCCATCCGAGAGGTAGGCCGCCTCCAACTCCTGCGAGGAGGTGGGCGAGGGGGCAGAGGGCGGAGAAGCAGGAAGGGGGAAGCACCCGTGGGAAAGCGGGGAAATGGGGCAAAAGAAGGGGAATGAGATGAGCGAGGCGAAGTGGGGGTCGTGTGTGCAGCAACACCACCATCAACAGCAACCGCAGAAGCAGCAGCGACACCACCAGCAGGCGAGGAGGCGGCGGTGGGAGGGCGGCAACAGGAGGAGCAGGTGGAAGGGGGGGGGCGCGGGGGGTGGGCGAGCAGGGGAGCAGCCTAATGGATCTTGGTGCTTCTGACTCCGACAAAAGAGGGGGCATGAGATGAGCGAGGCGAAGTGGGAGGAGCAGTAGGAAAGGCAGGCCGGCTTCAAACTCCTGAAAGTACACACAGGGGAGGGGCGGGGTGGGGGGGATTAGGGATGGAGAAGAAACAAGGAAGTGCGGGTGATGAGGTTGGCATGACAGTGAGACCAATTGATAGACGTCATCGGAGAAATACGCCAGCTAAATGAGCTCAGACCCTATGCTCTGAAACCTAGAGTTTCAACACTGCAAACCAAACCAAGCCAAAAACGCAAATGGATAACATTTGAGTTGAAGGATAGCCATTAGCCCCTGCACCCATCTGCACTCAAATGGATAACATTTTCCTGTACCACAGTGGGAGGCAGCCCCAGCTCCACCTGCACGAGCCCCTGCGATTCAGCCTTGGCGATCAGCAGCCACTGGTCGTCGCGGAACTCGCCCACCGAATGTCCTCCATCCCCCTACCCCTAACCACAAGCCTTGCCCTACACCCAAAATCCGGAACCCTTAGAAAACCGCTTGGATTGGATCGGCTCATACCTTGAACCCTCGAACATTCAAGCCCTAAACCCCCCAACCCTGCACAGCACGGACCTGAATCACATTTTCCTGCACCACAGCGGGCGGCAGGCCCAGCTCCACCTGCACGAGCCCCTGCGCCTCCGCCTTGGCGATGAGCAGCCACTGGTCGTCTCTGAACTCGCCTACCGGCTTGGCTTGTCCACCATCCCCCTCTACCCAGCACGCAAGCCCTGCCCTACACCCCAAATCCCAAACCCTTAAAAAGATCGTTCAGATCGGCTTAAACCCTGAACCCTGGGACAATTAAGCTGTTAACCCCCTGCACAGCACCCACCTGGATCACGTTCTCCTGCACGACAGCCGGCGGCAGGCCCAGCTCCACCTTCACGAGCCCCTGCGACTCCGCCTTGGCGATCAGCAGCCACTGGTCGTCGCGGAACTCGCCCACTGGCTTGTCCTTGAGGCGCTCTATGCCCGCAAAGCGGTGGAACGTGTCTATCACCTGCCATGCACGCACGCGCAGAGGGGGAGGAGGGCAAGAGGAACGCGTTAATCACGTGCAGCCACACGCACACGCACACAGGGGACGTGTGAGGTGTCTGCCTTAAAGGGAACTCGCCCACCGGCTTGTCCTTGAGCCGCTTGATGCCTGCGAAGCGGTGGAACGTGTCGATCACCTGCCATGCGCGCACGCAGCGGAGGAGGGCGGGAGAGAGGGTGCAGGAGAGGCGGAAAGAGTGCAAGAGGTTTACAGCGCATGGAGAACGGCGGGTGGGAAGGATGGGAGTAGGGGTTGAATTGCAAAAGGTTGATCAGGTAACGATGGGCGAGGAGCAAGGCAAGCAGAAGAGGAGGAAGTGCTGCGGGCAGAGTGCAGCAAGGAGATGTCGAACTGAGTACTGGAAGGATTTGATAGACAGGAGAATGATGGACAGAGGAACATGTTGTAATTACATATTTCATACAACATACATAAGCTAGAAGTGTAGCACATTTATAAATTTGGGGGTTGCTTAGTGTACCCTCCAACCACATTTTGTGGTTGGTTGGGATTGGTCCTTAGCTCAACCAATCCCAACCAACACACATTTGTGGTTGCTTGGGTCACAAGCAAGCTCACCCATTGGCCAACTTATTGGCCAATAGGGTAAGCTTCCCTCTCATCTCTCTCTTGCTCATTGTTTGTACTAAAGAGCCTCTTGGCTCATTATTCAATGCATCAATTCTCTCTCTTCTAACATGGTATCATGAGCTAATGGCTCACGCCTACCTCCCTCGGTCCTTAGGCCACCCTCTCCTCCCCGTTCCTCAGATCTAGCCCCACCCACAGAGCTGCCCTCCCTTCACGCGCCCTTTAGACGCTGTCCTCCCTCCCCGTGCGCCCCCTAAGGCGCTGCCCTCCAAGGCACGTCCAGATCTGCAACTCCAGCACCCAGATCTGCACTCCCCGCGCTCAGATCTGCAACTCGAGCGCCCAGATCTGCACTCCCCGCGCTCAGATCTGCAACTCCAGCGCCCAGATCTGCACTCCCTGCGACCAGATCTACTCCTCCCGCGCCTAGATCTGATCATTCCGTGCCCAGATCTGTATTCCGCGCCACCAGATCTCCTCCTCCCGCGCCCAGATCTGAACATTTCGCACCCAGATCTGCACTCCGCGCGCCCAGATCTGCACTCCGCGCGCCCAGATCCGCCCTCCGCGCGCTCAGATCTGCCCTCCGCGCGACCAGATCTGCACTCCGCGCGACCAGATCTGCACTCCGCGCGACCAGATCTGCACTCCGCGCGACCAGATCTGCACTCCGCGCGACCAGATCTGCACTCCGCGCGACCAGATCTGCACTCCGCGCGACCAGATCTGCACTCCGCGCGACCACATCTGCACTTCGCGCGCCCAGATCTGCCCTCCGTCCGCCCAGATCTGCACTCCGCGCGACCAGATCTGCACTCCGCGCGACCAGATCTGCACTCCGCGCGACCAGATCTGCACTCCGCGCGACCAGATCTGCACTCCGCGCGACCAGATCTGCACTCCGCGCGACCAGATCTGCACTCCGCGCGACCAGATCTGCACTCCGCGCGACCAGATCTGCACTCCGCGCGACCAGATCTGCACCCCGCGCGACCAGATCTGCACCCCGCGCGACCAGATCTGCACTCCGCGCGACCAGATCTGCACTCCGCGCAACCAGATCTGCACTCCGCGCGACCAGATCTGCATCTCCCGCGCTGAAATCTGACCATTTCGCGCCCATCTCTGCACGTCCCCGCTCGTTTGCCGCGGGCTGTCCCGCGTGCATTCGCCACGGGCTTCCCAGTCGCGCGGATCTGCCGCACGGCTGCCCTCTTCGTCCCCTCCCCCCCCCTCTCTCCCTTCCTCCTCCCATTGTACCCGCAGCAGCATCATCAGCGGCACCTCAACGGCACCACCAGCAGCACCCTCCCCCCTTTCCTCCCCCATAGCATCGCCCTCCTCCTCCTCCACCCAACCCACCCTCCGCTCCTCCCTTCCTCCTCCCATCCTACCTGCAGCAGCACCAGCAGCAGCACCAGCAGCGGCACCACCAGCAGCACCCTTCCCCCTTGCCTCCCCCATAGCATCGCCTAAGCATGGGCATTTGACCCGGACGGGTCGGGTAACCCGACCCGACCCGCCCGGGTCGGGTCGGGAAAACCCGGACGGGTCGGGTCGACCCGTGACCCGTCACTGTGATTTAGTGACGGGTTTTTGCGACCCGCCGGGTCGGGTTGACCCGTCCCGTCCGGGTCGCGTACCCAGTCAAATGACAGGGTTACCCGACCCGTTTTCGGATTAGGGTAGGGGTTGAACATCGGTTGGTTTTTTAGGTTTTTTTTCCCTCGACATTCTGATCTAGTCGCTAGACTAGATCAAGGCTAGTACTTCTGCGCTGCAGCTAGGGAGCCTCATACAGTCTTCACTCTTCAATGTTAGCACTATTTAAACTGCATATTATCTTCAGGTTAGGGTTTGGCGCTCCGACCCGACCCTTCTGCTATGTAGCATATTTTGATCCGACCCGACCCGACCCGTGGTGTAACCGACCCGGTAACGGGTCACAAATACCCGTTCCCACGGGGCGGGTCGGGTCACCAAAACAGAGTCAAACCCGACCCGCTAACCCGACCCGACCCGACCCGTTAAGCTAACGGGTCGCCCTCAACGGGACGGGTCGGGCCGGGTCGGGTCAAATGCCCATGCTTAGCATCGCCCTCCTCCTCCACCGTCCTCCTCCTCCCATCCTACCTGCAGCAGCACCAGCAGCAGCACCTGCAGCGGCACCACCAGCAGCACCCTTCCCCCTTGCATCCCCCATAGCATCGCCCTCCTCCTCCTCCACCTTCCCCACCCTCCGCTCCTCCCTTCCTCCTCCCATCCTACCCGCAGCAGCATCCGCAGCGGCACCAGCTGCAGAACCAGCAGCGGCACGGGCAGCAGGGCCAGCAGCAGCATTGGCAACGGTGCCCTCGCACCATCCTCCTCCTGCCCTAGCCTCTACCCACCCTCATCTCTATGGCATCGTCGTCCGATTCTTCCGTCGACCTTGCCACTGTTGACGCACTCGAGTTGCTGCCTGACAACTCTGCTGCTAATTGGCACTCTTACGCTCATTCCGTTGAGGTGCTCCTCTCCTCTGTTGTGGTCAGCGGCTACAACCTTCGCTCGGTTGTTTTTCAGGAAGGCGGTGGACTTCAGCCCGTGGCCCCCACCGCTCCTACTGGACCTGCCCCCGCCCACCCTGGCGCCGAGCCCTCTCCCCCCGGTGATCCTCCCACCTTCGCGCCGAATGTCAACGACCCGCAGAGCTCGGAAACCGCCATTCGCACCTACCGCACCAATCTCCAAGAGCACCTGCGCCTGCAATTGCGTTATGAGGACGACAGGCGCATCTATGACGAGGCCGCTGCCCGCTACAACAAGTACCAGGAGGACCTGGACACCTACACTGCAGAACTTGCAGACTACACCACGAAAATTACTGCCTGGCGGGTTGCTGATTGGCGTGCGCTTGCCATTCTTCTCGCCACCATCCCCTCCTCCCTCAAACGCGAGCTCTCACCTACCTCCTCCTCCCACCTGTGGCGACTGCTGGTCGACCTTTTCGATCGGCAGGACGTTGCCACTCTTTACGCCCTTATCAAGGAGTTTGGAACTCTCTCCATGGATTCCACTTCTGGCGCAGCTGCTTTCACTCGCCGTGTCTTAGACCTTGCTCGGCGCCTTGCAACACTCGATGTGGTGTACCCGGACACCGTCATCTGCTGCCACCTCCTCGAGGGCCTCACACCTGCCTTCGACGCTCACAAGCTTGCTTACATGCAGCTTATCTCCAAGCACCACACCCCTGCCGAAGTCGCTCAGTGGATTATCACCACCGAAGCTGAGATCCTTCGCCACTCTTCCTCCACAGCCGCAGCAGCCCAGTCGCGCAGCACCCGGGGTGGACGTGGCGGTGGGCGTGGGGGTGGGCATGGTGGTGGGCGTGGGGGTGGACGAGGGGGATCGGCAGGTCGCGGTGGTGCTGGCAGCAGTGGTGCGGGTCGTGGTACGGCAGCTGCATTTCCTCCCTGTCAGTACCTGCCTCGCTACGGTCCCACTCAGGGACAGCGCTGCGGCCAAACCACCCATGCCACTGAGACGTGCTTCAAGGCACTCAGTGATGAGTGGTTTGCCCGTGGCAACACCGGCACCCCTCCTCGCTGGTTCGCCCTCAACCCTCGCCCCACTCCCCTTGAGGTCCGCTCCTCTCCCCTTTATGAACCTCCCTCCTCCACCCACGCCCACCAGGCCCTCGCCCCTCCCCAGCAGCAGCACCAGCAGCAGCAACAGCAGCAGCAGCTTGGGAATCAGCAGCAGGGGTCACAGCAGTATGGGCAGCAGCTTCTCCTCTCTCAGCTCCAGCAGCAGCTCCAACATCTCCAGCAGCAGCTCGACCTCCAGCCGCAACTGCCCCTCCTCCCTCCTCCTCCGGTTTCCCAGCAGCAGCCCTTTCCTACCTGGACTGCTAAGAGTGCTGCCTCTGCAGCCCATCTCTCGGGTGCGTCCCCGGCGCCGTCTGCAGGTGGCAGTGTGACCGCTTTCCCTTCCTCTGGTTTTGTTGGTTTATTAGGTCAACCTGAATCTGTTGCATCTTCCATGTACCCTTCTTCTGCTAATGAAACTTCGATCCAGTACTCTGCCTCACCTTCCTCCACCATTGACTTCGTTCTGGACAGTGGAGCCACTGACACTGTCCTTCGCGACGCTGGTACACTGCACCCTCTCCCCACACCAACCTCCCTCCTCGGCGCTGATAGCAGTTTTTCCATCCCTTGTCACAACACCTCCACCCTTCCCTGTCCTCTCTTTCCCTCAGGTACTGTCACCGGTCTCCACATTCCCTCCCTTCGTACTAACCTCCTCTCCCAAAGGTCCCTCCAACAAGCCATGATCACCACTCTCATCCCAGGTGGTGCTAACCATTGTGACCTATACCAAACCTCCACAGGTCGTTTTCTCGCCCGTATTCCCTATTGTCCTCGCTCCCGTCTGTACACCCTTCGGATTCCCCGCCCCCTCACCTTCCAAGTTGCCTCCCCCCCCCCTTCCTTCCCCCCCCCCCCTCCCCTCCCCTCCCACTAACCCACCCCTCCCCCCCCGCCCTCCTGACTCTGACTGTTCCTGTCGTTCCCTCTCCCACCCCACCATCCTCCTCCATCACAGGCTAGGCCACCCCAACTTCGCTACTCTGCGCTCCTCTGTCTCCTCCGGTCTCCTCCACGGTCTCCCCTCCTCCCTCCCTTCCCTCCCCAAATCCCCTGCCCCCCCCTGCACCGTCTGCGTTCAGAGCAAGCTCAAGCAGCAGCCGCACCGGAGCTCCCCCTCCGCTGCTGCGCAGCCACTTGATCTTGTTCACATGGACCTATGGGGCCCTAATCCCTCTCCCACTCGACAGGGCCATCGCTACCTTCTCGTGCTTGTTGATGATCACAGTCGGTACTCGTCCGTCTCTCTCCTTCGGACGAAGGCGGATGCCCCGGCTGCGATCATCGCCTGGCTCGAGCGGGCAAACACCCATTTTGGGCGCCCTGTTCGCCGCCTTCACCCTGATGGAGGTGGTGAGTTCCTTAACAACCAAGTCTCCTCCTATTGTCAGTCTCGTGGCATCCTTCAGACTTACACCCTCCCTCACTCCCCACAGCAGAACGGCGTGGCTGAGAGTCGTGTTCGAGAGATCACCGAAACAGCCCGGTGTCTGCTTGTCCACGCCTCCTGCCCCCCTTCTCTTTGGGGCTACGCCCTCCTTCATGCCGCCCTCCTTACTAACCTTTACCCTCACCCCCTTCTCCCCTCCATCACCCCCAGTGAGCTGTGGACGAAGGACAAGCCTGATGCCTCATCACTTCGTGTCTGGGGCTCTAAGGCACATGTCCTCATTCACCCCTCTGACCGCTCCCGTTCCATGGGAAAGCTTGCCCCTCGTACCCTTCCTTGCATCTTCCTTGGTCATAATCCCTCCTCCCCCGACTACCTTTTCCTCCACCCACCATCCGGTTGTCTAATCCGCAGCCGGGATGTGGTCTTTGACGAGTCCACTCCCTACTACTCCTCTCCCACATCTACTGACCCACTCCCCCCTCTCACCCGTCCCCTTGTCTGGTCTGACACCACCCCTCCCCCACTACTCCCTCCTCCCCCCATCCTCCCACCCCCCCCTTCTCCGCCGTCCCAGTCCCATGGTGCCCCTCCCTCTTCTGGTGACATCTTTGACCCGGAACCTCTGTCTTCTCCTGTCTCCCCCGCTCACTCCTCTCCTAGTACCCCTCCCCCCCCCCCCTTCCTCTCCCTCGCCACCAATCCGTCCTCCCCCTTCCCGCACCATACTCACCCGGTAACCCCACACCAGGTCACGTGACGGTATCCTTGGTGCACCGCCTCCCGTTACCCTCTCTACCTCTACCCTCCCCCCTCTCTCCCCCCTCCTTCGTCACTTCTTCCAGGCTGTCTTGCATCAAGCCCCTCATGCAACAGCCCCCTCAGCCACCTCCTCTCCAGCAGCGGCACCAGCAGCGGGACCAGCAGCGGCAGCAGCAGCGCCAGCAACCGCAGCAGCAGCAGGACCAGCAGCGGCAGCAGCAGCGGGAGCGGCATCGGCAATAGCAGCGGGACCAGCAGCGGCACCAGCAGCGGCACCAGCAGCAGCACCAGCAACAGTACCAGCAGCGGCACCAGCAACGGCACCAGCAGCGGCACCAGCAGCGGCACCAGCAGCGGCACCAGCAGCAGTACCAGCAGCGGCACCGGCAACGCCTCCACCAGCAGCACCAGCAGCGGCACCAGTAGTCATCCGCGCCTTCCACACCTCCCTCTCTGAGGACTCCCATGAAGAGTTCCTTGACCTCCACCTTTTTGACCCCTCGCTTCTACCCATCACGTTCGACCTCTCTGGCACACCTGTCTTCGCCTTCTCCTCTGCTCCCTCCATTTTCGTTCCTACCACGTACGAGGAGAAAATGGCGTGCCCTGACGCTCCGCTATGGCTCGCCGCCATCATCAAGGAGCTGGAGGCCTTTATCGGCAACTCCTCTTTTGTCGATGTGCCTCGCCCTCCCGCCCCTACGAACGTGGTGAAAGGAAAGTGGGTGTTTCGCGTCAAGCAGCTGCCAGGGGAGCCGCCCGTTTATAAGGCTCGTTACTGCGCCAAGGGGTTCACGCAGCGGTATGGTTTTGACTTCTTCGATACCTTCTCCCCTACTGCCAAGCCTGCTACTGTTCGCGCCGTGCTCGACCTCACCGCTCGCCTCAATATGGAGATCCACTCGATGGACGTTTCTAACGCCTTCCTACAAGGCATCCTCCGCGAGCTTATCTACATGGAGCGTCCAGCCGGCTTTCACCTCCCCTTCCCAGCAGACTCTGTCTGGCAGCTGCGTCGACCGGTGTATGGGCTCCGACAGGCCCCAAGGGAGTGGCGTGCTAAACTTGCCGCCACCCTTGCTGAACTTGGGTTCTGCACCTCCCGCTCTGACGCCAGCCTCTTCCTCCGCACCTCCCCCTCCCCATTTTACATCCTTGTGTATGTCGATGACATGATTCCGCTCACTGCAGACCTTGGAGAGTTGGAGCATGTTAAGGCTGAGTTGGGCACCCGTCTCAAGTGCAAAGACTTGGGAGAGCTTCAGCATTATCTGGGTGTGACCATCACCCGTGACCGCTCTGCCCGCACCATTTCACTCTCCCAGGGTCATTACTTGCAGCAGGTCTTGGAGCGGTTTGACATGGCCCGTGGCGGCGCCCAACATACACCTCTTTCAGTCGGGCACCACCTCTCTCCACCCACCTCCCCCTCAGCCTCCTCCCATCCTTATCCCGAGCTCATCGGCTCCCTCATGTACGCCATGGTCTCCACTCGCCCTAACCTTGCCTACCCCAGCAGCGTCCTCGCTCGTTTTGTTGGCGCAGGCAAGCATACGGAAGAGCACTGGCAGGCCGCCAAGCGTGTCCTCCGGTACCTTCGTGGCACCAAGGACTATGTCCTTACCCTTGGCGGCCCCTCCCCACCTCTTCTCAGCGGCTACAGTGACTCCTCTTGGGCTGATTCCCGGCCAGATCGTCGCTCCTCCCAGGGCTATGGCTTCTCTCTTGGCAGCGGCCTTATCAGCTGGCGCTCCACCCGCTCCTCGGCTGCAGCCCTCTCCTCCTGCGAGGCAGAATTGTATGCCGCCACCATGGCTGCGCAAGAGGCCCGCTGGCTCACCTTCCTTCTTGAGGAACTTGGTGCCCCCCTAGCGCTGTCCCACAATTTGGTGTGACAATGCTAGTACCATTCACCTCACCAAAGATGCTGTGTTTCACGGGCGCTCCAAGCACATTGAGCTCCGTCATTTCTTCATTCGCGATCTTGTTCAGGCGGGGCGCCTTCGCCTCGACAAGGTTGACTCGGCGGCCAACCTTGCCGACATCTTCACAAAAGCTCTTCCTCATGCCGCTCACTCTTTCCTATTTCGTCTTCTTGGCCTCACTCCTCCTAAGTCGCCTCCCGCCTCTTGATTCTAGCCTTATAGCCTTATGCATGTTGGGGGGTTGTGTTGTAATTTTATATTTCATACAACATACATAGGCTAGAAGTGTAGCACATTTATAAATTGGGGGGTTGCTTAGTGTACCCTCCAACCACATTTTGTGGTTGGTTGGGATTGGTCCTTAGCTCAACCAATCCCAACCAACACACATTTGTGGTTGCTTTGGTCACAAGCAAGCTCACCCATTGGCCAACTTATTGGCCAATAGGGTAAGCTTCCCTCTCATCTCTCTCTTGCTCATTGTTTGTACTAAAGAGCCTCTTGGCTCATTATTCAATGTATCAATTCTCTCTCTTCTAACAGAACAGATGGACAAGGAAAGAGAGGGACGATTAGACTGACACAAGGGGACTGAGGGCAGGGCACGAGGGGGAAATGGGCACCGGGTAAATGTGGGAGTCAGCAACATTGCCCGAACTGCACAGATAATGGGTATTCTATTCAGGAATAGCTTCGAGGATACCATCAAGACATGCGTTACCCCAGGTCCTGGGGCCGATAATTGAGTAGTTAGCTCAAGGGATCCAGAGAGGTGCTTGGTTTCCAGAAATCCACAGAGGGGCGTTACCCGGCCGCCAAGGCATTACCTGGCGGTCATAAACCCAGGGAGGGGCGTTACCTGGCGGCCGCGCGGGGTGGGGTTGGTGGAGACGATGGCGCGCTTGTTGAAGATCTCCCTCACGTGCTCGCGCACCTTGGGCTCTATGCTTATCTCCACCTCCGCCTGCCATTGGCACACACGCAACAAGGGAGGCACACACGCAACAAGGGAGGCACACACACACAGCATTCGGGTCACTGTATAACATCATCACACCATCCCCCTCACGTGCTCCCGCACCTTGGGCTCCATGCTTATCTCCACCTCCGCCTGCCATGCGCACGCAAACATTGGAGTCACTTTTGAGCATCATCTCACCATCTCCCTCAGGTGCTCGAGCACCCTGGCCTGGCCTGGCCTGGCTGGCTCGATGCTTATCTCCACCTCCGCACACTCCCACTGTCCCACATCGTGTCAGCCAAGCACGGATGTACAAGCTGTGTGACACACATCACAGATTCACAGCCACACAAGGGGTGACCACAAACCACAGCGTAGAATGTAAAGCAAAACACCCTCCATTCCACCTTCCACACTGCAGGATCAACGATGGCTGAACATGCACTCCGCCGTCGTGTACCACAAGGGCAACAGGATGCATGCGGCCTGGCAGCAATATACAGCATGCGGCCTGGCAGCAATATACAGCATGCAAGAGCGTGAGGATACCCTTTGCTTCCTGCGCTTCAAATCCTGCAACCTTTTGCAAAGTGTACGAGGCAAGGTCACCAGAAGACCAGCCAACCCGCACGCACCATGTGGCGGGCGCCTCTGAGCACGAGAGCAGGCGAGGGGAATTCAGCACAGATGTACTCCGTTGCCACCTCCTCCGGTGATAGCGCCGTGTCCTCCACCTCGTGTTGCTGCCATTACACATGCACACACACACGCATATACAGCCACATAGACACGCACACATGCACACGACGGGTATTGGATGTGGAGTGGTGAGAGAAGGAGGTGGGGAGGCGGGTTGAAGAAACCTGACTGTGCCGGCCCATGAGGCCGTCAGGAGGCGGCAATCTGAGGAGAGGATCCCAATACCCCTCACACCTCTCACACCCCACCCATCCCACCATCCTCCCACGCACCTTGTACATGGAGATGAGATTCTCGCCCAGTTGGAACGCCGACAGCCCAATGCGCTTCACCACACCCTTCAACCCAGCCCGCCGGCACACCGAGTACATGGACCGCTTCCGAGGCCGCCTCTGCTGCACCCCTGCCCCTCCCCGCCCGCCCTCCTCCGCCACAGCCTCCTCCGGCGGAAACTGCAGGTTGAACTTGGCGTCCACGTCCTCTACGGCGGGCTCCGAGAGCGCACAGTCGAGCGCGTGGAGCACCCCTTGCATGGCGAGCTGCCGCTCTGCTTCTTCATCCTCGTCCACTCGCGGCCGCTCGTAGGCGGATCGCAGTGAGCGCTTGCGGCGCTGCAGGAGCAGCCAGCGGCGATCCCACTGCTGGATGGCCCACAGAGCCTGGTTGGGAAGAATGTAAACGGAGAGTGGGCGCAGGGAGGGGATAGCGAGGGAGGGTAAGAAATGGGGGTGTTTACGCATGCAGCCCCAGCCCACGGCTATCCCATTGCTGGATGATTTACAGGGCCTGCGTTGGAGGAGGGAGAAAGGGGGGTGGTGGTGGAGGGGTCGGTTGTGTGGGGAGAAAAAGGGAGGGGCCAATGGGGAAGAAGGAAGGAAGGAAGGAAGGAAGGAAGGAAGGAAGGAAGGAAGGAAGGAAGGAAGGAAGGAAGGAAGGAAGGAAGGAAGGAAGGAAGGAAGGAAGGAAGGAGGGAGGAGGCTGATAGGGAGGGTGGAATGGGGGGTTTGTGGATGCGAAGGAATAGAGAGGTAGGGAGGGAGATCGAGCGAGCATGCAAAGGGAGGAGTCCTGAAGAAGTGCAATGCAGGTGGGCGGCCTGCTACTCCAGTCCAGATCATATGCAGGTGGGCCTGCTACTCCAGATCACATGTTACAGAACAGACTAACATGCAGATATCCTGCAAGTGCAATCCAGGGGTCAGGTCAGTACCTGGAAGGGCTGCAGCTGCGGCTCCCCGTCAAGCTTGTCTTGCTCCACGAGGGGGGGGGCAGTGCAGTGCAGTGCAGGTGGGGCTGCATGCCCAGGTTATAGATGTCAAAACTACCTAAATACCCGGCAAATCCAAGGGACCACACCTGGAAGGGCTGCAGCTGCGGCTCCCCGTCGAGCTTGTCTTGCTCCACGAGAGCCGGGCAGATGGCCTTCTTGTGTATCGCTATGTACGGCACCTGGTGGGAGGGGAGGGGAGGGGGCATGAGAGGAAGGATGTGGCACATGAGATTTCAAGTCGACTCAGCAAGTCTCCACGAGAGCCGGGCACATGGCCTTCTTGTGCATCGCTATTTACGGCACCTGGTGGGAGGGAGGCATAGGGAGGGTGGGAGTATGGGAGGAGGGCCAGAAAGGGAGGGGAGGGCCAGGAGGGAGGGGCATGAGGGGAGAGCCAAGGATCCATGGGTGCACTAAAAGCGAGTACAGATGGGATGCGAAGAAGGGGGAAGCAAAGGAGTGGAGGAGCGGATTGGGGAAACGGGAAACCAGGATGGACAACAACAGTACAGACTGATGCGTCGAATGAGTCGCATCACTTGAGCCGATGCAATGCAGCCTCACGAAGTCCGTCACATCCGGACCAGAGCCACTCAGCACAGTGACACTGCACCTCGCATTCGCCCACCCTGCCCCCTCCCCACACAGCACCTCGCACCCATCCACTCTCTTCCCTCCCCTCTCCTCCCCCCTCCACCGCACCTCCACTTTTGCATCGTGCAGCTCTTCAAGCACAGCCGCGATCTGCTCGATGGCACCGTCCCGCGCCGCCACGGCCTCTCTCCGGCATTTCTCCACGTCCTCCCGTGCGCACGTGGCGGCGCGCCTCTCAGCGTCAGCGACGTACGAGAACTCCCCCCGCCGCAGGTGGTCGGGGGCTAAGGAGCCAAACACGCGCTCGTAGATCCACTCGGCCTCGGGTAGATGGTCCTCGTTCTCAGGGATTACACCCACCACCTCCTCCAACAGCTGGGGCAGGTGAAGTGGACAAGGGGAGTTGGAGAAGGAGGGGGAGCGGGGAGAGGGGGAAGGGGAGAGAGGGGGAGGGAGGGGGAGTGTGGGGGAGCGGGAGACGGGGGGGGAAGGAAGCAGAAGGGGGGAGGGAGGAGAAGGGGAGGTGCAGCAATGAGAGAGGGGAACTGATGGGTGCGTGGCAGGTGGCCGGGGTAGATGGTCCCCAGACGGGCCAGGGCGCCAGACGGGTAGATCCACTCGGCCTCGGGTAGATGGTCCTCGCTCTCTGGGATCAGCTTCGGGGTAGGTGAGGTGGGCAGGGGGAGTTAAGGGGTGGGGGAGGGGGAGATGCGGTGATGAGCGAGCGAGCACAACGGATGCTGTGCAAGAGGGGGGAGTGCAGTGCAAGTGGAGTGGAGGGGGGTGGGGGAGGAGAAAAGGGGGGGTGCGGCGGGGGGGTGGAGGAGCCCCTGCCATGCCCGACACCAGAGGAAGAGGAAGAGGAGGAAGAGGAGCCCATGCCATGCCCTGCCATGCCCTGCCATGCCCTGCCATGCCCGATACCAGCTCTCAATTCTCCACAGAGGAAGAGAACTACATGCCGTGCAAGAGGCGCGACTACGTTTGCCAAAAGGAAAGCCGGAAGGGGGGGAGAGGCAGGGTGGGGGGGAAAGGGGAAGGGGGAGAGGGAGTCAAGGGTAAGAGCCCAGGCCCCAGCCCCCATAACTCAATCTCAACTCTCACGTCCCCCCACCCACCTGCAGCCTCTCAGGAACGTCTCTGGCTCGAATGGGTTCATCCCGCCCGCTCAGTCATATACTTGGCCTCCAACAAGCTCGGCTCATACTGCCTTGCTTCAACAGCACCATCACTCACCCTCACTTCCAAGCACCCACCTGCAGCCTCTCAGGAACGTCCCTCGCCCACCCACCTGCAGCCTCTCGGGCACATCTCGGGCTTGAATGGCCTCATCCCGATCCGTCATATACTTGGCCTCCAGCAGGCTCGGCTCATACTGCTCGACACCACCCTCACTCCCTCACTCACCTTCACTCCTCACCACCCACCTGCAGCCTCTCAGGAACATCTCGGGCTCGAATGGCCTCATCCCGCTCCGTCATGTATTTAGCTTCCAGCAGGCTCGGCTCATACTGCTTCGACAGCGCCGACGCCCCGCCCGCGCCCTCCCGCCCATACTCCTCCCCACCCTCCGCCCCCATCCCATCCTCATAATAGTACCCCCCCGCGCCCCCCTCCCCTCCCTCCCTCCTCTGCCTCTCCAGCTCCACGCGCCGCCGCTCCAGCAGATCCGCCACGTCACCGAAAATATCCTGCGCCTCGAGAAGCGCCTCAGAGGTGACACCTGGCATGCGCGTGCCCTTTTTCTTCTTCTTGCGGCGGCGCCGGCCGTGCTCGTCCGTGTCGTCTACACCCCCTTCCACGATGAAGTCTGCCATCTCGTCCTCTTCCTCCTCGTCCTCCTCCCCGTCCTCCTCCTCCAACTCCTCCTCCTCGCCCCTGCCTTCCCTCTCCTGGAAATCTTCAGGCACGTCTGGGGAGACAAGGAGAACAGGAGGAAATGGAGGAGCGACCGAGGGGTGGAGCGAGAGAAAAGAGATGGGATGGGGGGTGGGGGGGGGGGGGGGGGAGAAGGGGGAGGAGGTGGGAAGGATAGTGGGGAGGAGGAAGAAGAGGCAAAGATGAGGAGTGAACAGGAATTTATAGTGGGAAACAGCAGCGTGGAGATTTTTTTTTTTTTTTTTTTTTTTTTGAGGCGCCTCAACAGGGGGAAGAGGCAAAAATGAGGAGTGCACGGTATTCATAGTGAAAAAACAGCAGGAAGGGGAGGGATTGTAGGGAGCCAAAAGACAGGGATGGGGACGTGAGGAGTCAAGAGAGCTAACGCTCTTCAAACTGTGACGGCACTTGCTACTCAAAACACATGCTGCTTACCCCCCTCACCCCCCAACCCTTCACAACCTCATCCCAGAACAAAGAGTCACTCTCATCCCAGAAACCTCTCACCCTGATTGTCCATATCCCTCTCAGCCTGATTGCCCATATCCCTCTCACCCTCATTGTCCATATCCCTCTCACCCTCATTGTCCATATCCCTCTCACCCTCATTGTCCATATCCCTCTCACCCTCGTCCCCAAAAATCTCCCTCTCCACGCATTGCTGGGGGCGCATACCGCCCTCCTCGTCCTCCTCATCGTCCATCAGCAACCCCTCATTCACATCATATGCAAGACACATACCTACCCACCCCCATCCCTGGACGTTCCCCTCACTCACCCTCATCGCCAAAGATCTCCCTTTCCACGCGCTGCTGCGCGCGCATGCCGCCCTCCTCGTCCTCCTCATCGTCCATCAGCAACCCGTCCTCGTCCCCCCCCATGTGCCTCGCCTTTTTCAGCCGCCGAAACTTCTTATCCTTCTGCCAAAGCGCACACCACATAACATAACATACCAGCCACGTAAGGCAAACACAGGCCAAGACAAGGCACAGGGCAGTCACACGCCAAAGGACATGGGGACGGATAAAAGACCAAATGAGCAAGGGAAAGCAGCCCCCCTCCTCCTCGCACCCCCTCCCCTTCCCATGTGTCGCGAGGCCGTGCGTGCCTTCATCATCAGCCTCCACACCTTCTTGCCCTTCCGCCCCCATGGGAAGGGAAAGCAGAACTTGTTGCCCGATCACGACAGTCACAGATCAAAGGCATGTGTGTGCTGTGCAGTGTGCATGCATGGGGAGGAGACAAGCCAGATAAGCGGGGAAAAAACAGCACTGTTCCTGACGTGACGTGACACCCATGAGCTCCGCCGTCATCTGAAGCAGCTGTTGACATTACACACATACACGGCCACACACACACACTAATGACGCGAGGCGAGGCTCAGATTGTCACTGCAGCTACCCTATAAGATGCCGTTTCACAGCAGGACAAACAACATATGGCCGCGGTTTCTTAAGCTTGCCCCAATGGACGCACCTTGGCGGGGCGATGAAAGCCCCCCACACCGCTCTCCTGCAGCAGCGCATAGTCGTCCTCATCCAACTCGTCCTCCTCCTCCTCCCTGCGACACAGCACACGCATGGGGATTGGGTGATGCCGAATGGGAGGGAGGTTGAGCTTTGAGGCGCCTCAAAGCACACCGCTCTCCTGCAGCAGCGCATAGTGGTCCTCGTCCAACTCGTCCTCCTCCTCCTCCCTGCTCGCCGGGCCATGGAACATGGGGGTATTGGGGGATGGCGGATGGGGAGCGGGCATGGGGATAGGGGGAGGGGGCAAGGGGCATGGGATGGGAGGGGAGAGAGGCCAGGCCAGAGTGGGCGGACGTGGCAAGGAGACCAGCAGCACCACACTCAACCGCAGAGCACCTTGTGCTGGCACCCCTTGTATTGTATCCCCCTCCTCACCTTTTCCGGCGCTTCTTCTTCTTCTTCTCCCTGCGCTCCTCGTCACTCCCCGGCCCCTCCTCGCCCCCCCCTTCCTCCTCCTCGCCTTCACCGCCCTCCTCCTCCTCCTCATCACCGTCCACCATCCATCCATCCTTCTCATACTCGTCCTGCCCCTCTTCTGCTCCCCTCACCCGAAAACAAGACGCAGACACACGCACGGCGATTACGAAAGAGTCACAACGAGCGATAAGAAAAGAAGGACTCGCGCACACGCGATCAGAGGGACTGGCAGGGCAGCAGGCAACATGGCTGCCAGTCGGCGCGATCAGAGGGAATGGCAGGCAACATGGCTGCCAGTCGGCGCGATCAGAGGGAATGGCAGGCAACATGGCTGCCAATCCGCGCAGCCGACGCACCACCCCGCTGATAGCCAATCACGCTGGGCCTCCTCACCACCCCTATGTTGCCGTGCTTTAAATTCGCCCAATCGAATACAAGTCACTACTCTAGATAGCCCAACCAAATATTAATATCTTTTGGCCTACCTCCCTCCTCCCCTCTTTTATCATTCCTCTCTCCCTCCTTCCCTTCCCTCGCCCCATGTCCGCGCCCTAACTTCCTCCTCTCGCCATCCTCCCGATTCTCGACCAACCTTCCTCCGCGCGCGTCACCTACTTTCGCGCTCTACCCTCCTCTGCGCGCCAACCTTCCTCCGCGCGCCTACCCTCCTCTGCGCAACTACCTTCCTCCGCGCGCCTACCTTCCTTCGCCCGCCTACCTTCCTCCGCGCAACCCTACCTTCCTCTTCATCGTCGTCCTCCCCGTTCACATCGTCGCCCTCCTCTTCCTCCTCCTCCTCCTCGCGCTCCACCTCATCTGCCGGGGCCCCATCGAGACGAGACAGGGACAGGCGAGAAATGAGGAAAAAAACGAGGAGAGCGATGAAAGAGAGGCGTGTGAAAGAAACTGAGCGCATAGAGCTGGAGGGGGAGGGGATGGAGGGAGAGACGAGGGGATGGGGGGAGGAACGAGGGGATGGAGGCCGAGGGGGAGTCGGGGAAAGGCAACCGTCATTCATTCCGGGCCGAGAAAGCATGTCCTCAACTACGCCGGTGTTGGGAAACGATAAAATGCCCTATGAGTGTCTGAACGAGGCTAGAAATAGGCTGATTTCAGAGCGGCGAAAGGGATACTTAATTCATTCCGGGCCGGAAAAGCATTTCGTCTGCTAAGCGGAAATTGGCCGAACTCGACTGCAGCATCTAGACATTCCAGGAACGCCGCGACCGACGTACGGACTCTAAGCGTGCAACTCCGATATTAAGAACACTCTGAGTGCTTAGAAACATAAGTAATTGACTTAATCCGTGAACATCCGATCCCGAAGCTTGGGAGATTAGGCCTCACGTTGAGACTGCGTACCTGGATCGAAGCCCATGATCGGACGGTTGACAGCACACGCAAATCAGGCAGGAGGAAACGTCCGATCCGCTAAAGCTCTCCCTTAGTCTACCTTCGACTGAGAGCTGGGATAGGAGCTAAGATAGTGTGAATGAGAATGGCAGTGCGAGCATGGACATGGATGGCAGCAACAAGAACGGTGAGGTGAGGATGTGGTTGCTTGTCGGTACCGTACATATGCGAGTTTGTAACAGTTCGCATACAAGATGCGTCAGGGAATGACCTGCATCGCAAACGGGTGGAAGGCTTTCCCAAGACTCGCTTGAATGCGGCTCAATAAGGTGCTTTACATTCGACCTTGTACGAATGAGACCTGTCAGGCAGGGTAAAAAATATTGTTGGGAGTTGGATATCATGCCCACCAACATCCAGAAGCATATCACTGCTAAGCCACTGGGAACCGCCATCTGACTCCATCCCTGTTGATCGTCTGCAACAGACTAGTTTATTTGGCGTTTGTTTGCAGAACCTTGTGTTTCCTCCATTTGACAAGTAAGCATGTAGCCGTCATTGCAGAAGAAATTCCAGAGTACAATTAGAAAGAGGTGTTGCAATGCACAGCACCAGGGCCTCAGATTGGTTGTGGGCTAGGCTGAAAAAACAGAGTTGGTACAAAGAATTATGCTGAAAATCAGGCAGATCAGCCATTTTATGCCATTATACACTAAATTCATGTTTCATTCCAAAAAAGTGCTGGAAATTCAGCCTCGATTATAAAAAAGGACTGAAATCTCAGCCTTTTTTACCTAAATCGGCCTTATTTCGCTGACTTCTGAGGCCCTGCACAGCACACAAAGGCTCTACACATGAGCAGACACCATGTGCACCAGCATGCCAGTGTGCTAATTGAGTCCACCACACCACAGCAATATGGTTTCATAGCAAACCCCCTCAATGATGGCCAATTATTGAGGCTTAGAGGCGTACTCGAAGCATTGAGTTATTCTTATATATGCTACGAGGCTCTACATAGCCATCACGATCCAGCAACTGCCTGCACCCCTTAACACCCAGATACTGCAGCATCTTCAACTCAGCCATATCCCAAGGTAGCTCCCTCAACCGCCAACACCCGTCCAAGATAAGCCGCCTCAGTCCAGCCAGCCGCACAAAGTGGGGAGGAAGCGAGGTGATGAGGGAGGACGAGAGATTCAGCTCATTCAGGCACACAAGGCAGGTGAGAGAAGCAGGGAGCCGTTTCAACCCCTTGAAGTCTGATAGACTCAGCTTGCGCAGCGTGGTCAAGGCGCCAATGCCCTCCGGAATGTGAGTGAGCATGCACTCATGAACCTCCAACAACGTCAGCTGCTAAAGCCGCGTGATGCTCTCTGGCAGCTCAGACAACTCCTGAGCATCGTGTATCAGCAGCACCCTCAGCTGGTGTAAGTTCGAGCCGATACTCTCTGAAAGACTGGAAATCTTGGCAGCATGATAGATCGCCAAGGTGCGCAGCTGGGGAAGGCATGTCAGCGGGAATGGAGGCTCGGTTGCAGAGTTTTCTAACACCAGCTCCAAATCCCTCAGAAGCGGCAGGCTCTTGCTGAAATCCAGTGCTTGGTCGATATGAACCCGAGACAGCTTCAGGTTTCTCAGATTTGGCAGCATTGGGGTTGTCAGCAGAGGGGCAGTGTCGTCCCTGCTCGCTAGACTCAGCTGCTCAAGAAACGACGGCAGAAATTGGACGGATTCAGGCTGCAACAGGCATTCGACAATCTCCAGGTGTTTGAGCCTCGTGAGTCGGTCCAGACGCATCGGAGGCCAGGAGAGCCATCGACACGAACGAACGGTCAGGGTTTGGAGACACTTCAGGGCTGAAAGTGATGCGGGCAGGTCGCGTAACCGATTGCATGAGGCAATGTGGAGCTGCTTTAAGCTGCTGAGATTCCCCATGCTCTCCGGAAGGATCTCAATCTCGGACTGATTCAGCTCAAGCCTGGTTAGCGATTTCAGCTGGGTGAACGAGGGTGGGAGTGGCTGTTTCTGAGAGTTGCCGTCCAGCAGAAGAGTATGCAGTTGCAGCAGCGCGCCAATGTCTTTAGGAAGGATTAGCTGCTGCAACCTCACGAGGCAGAGAGTGGTGAGGGATGTGAGGCTGCCGAAGCCTGCTGGCAGCTGCTGAAACCCCTCGTAGTCGAGTATGAACAGGGTCTCCAGGGATGTGAGTAGGCTGAAAGAACCTGATAGGCTCGTGAGTGCGAGATTCTGTAGAACCAATGTTCTGAGGGCAGGAAGCTGACCGAAATTCTCGGGCAGGGTGGAGAGACTGCGGCAAATTAAAATCGTCAAGCTTGTCAAGGAACTCGAAAGAACCAGCTGCTGCGATTAGTCAGAAAGATTCTCGAGTGGCAGAAACTCCAGCACCAAAGTCTTGAGTGCTGCCAGCCGTCCAAAATTCGCAGGTAGGCTCGAGAACGAGGAACAGGAAGAAATCGTCAGGCTCTCCAAAGCGCTAAGACAGGTGAACTTGTCAGGCAGATGTGAAAAGTTTTTGCAGCTGCTAATACTCAGCTCGCGAAGGCACGGGAGAAGCTCCGCGATGTTTTCCGGGAAGCTGCTCGAGCTGGTTGGAGTTGGTAATCAGCAGCCGCTCGAGACGGCTACACGGTATTTCTGACGAAATCGTTAGGCAAGATTCCAAGGTCAGCAGCGGCAGTTGTGAGAGGGTGAGAGCAGCAGCGGGCTGATCGCGGGGAGGGATATCGATTCTATCTGAGATCGAAAGACTGGTGATGCTCGGAAGGCGACGCAGACCCGCCAATCGCTTCGAGTTGACATAATACGAGGCGATTCGGAGAGCTGTCAGAGAGGAAAGGCTTGCGAGATGAGGCGATTCGAGCATTGACGGAGTTGTTAATGTGAGGGAGTGCAGGTGCTGGAGTCGGAAAAAAGAAGCTGGTTGTTTCATGAATGGCTGGAGGCAGAAGAGCGAAAGCTGCTTCAGCTTCGTGCAACCCTGGAATAGCCGATCCAGACCGGATTCGGTTACTGGGTGGTTGTCCTGGCTTATTCCGTGGTTTCTGAGTGTGATGCTATCTCCCACGTCAGCTTAGGGCATGACGACGCGAGGCGATCGAGGAGATCGTCGTTGATAGTCGTCACGCTGGCGTCGCACAGATGCAGACGGGTCAGATTCGGGAAGCAAGCGACAGCCGTCGCGAGGAATTCGAGAGGAACGTCGAGGTCTTCTCGGAGGGAAAGGGTGGAGACGGAGAGCTGCGCGAGTCGCCTCCAGCGACGGCAGACCGACGCGACGAGGAGATGGTAACCCGCGGAGGTTGCGGAGAGAGGGTGATGCGTTTGCGCGAAGTGCGACTGGTATAGCCGGTTATCGAGGCTAGGTGCGCGGTGGGGATGAAGGTACCTCGGCTTGGGTCCCAGGGAGGTCCACAGAGCGTCGCTTTCGACTGTGCGGGTGCCCGGATTCGCGGTGTGCCACAGGATTCGAATGAGAAGATCGTCAGAGAGGCGGTGAATGTGTGCGCGAGGCTCCATGATAACTCTAGGCCCTGAATGATAATGCTATAACGGATTAACTATATGTACGAAGTGGATCAACTAATCAGATCTGGTCGAGGCAACCAAGAACCCTGCTGTGGTACCTCGACTCTCCCGCCCGGCAGCGTTTGGTCACTCAATGCGATAGTTACCAATTTAGCGATGCTCGCGAGTGATCGCTGTGGAGCGAATGAATTGCAGGATGTGCAACCATGTGTTCCTGCCGAAAGGTACAGTTGGACGACCAAGCGGCTTGGTGACGAAGCGACTCATGCAATCCTTTTCGTGAAGATTCGTGATTCGCAGTTTCGTGACAACACAATCGTGTACTAGTGTCTGAACAATGTCTGTAAATCTACATTGCTCGGTTTTGTGTTCGAGCACCTGGTAACCGTCGCCGAGGATTCCCGGAATTGGGCCTTAACGCCTCTGAGGTTAGGGGCGGGTCCATCTTTGCACATGTACAAATTTCAGATCCGTTACCACATTTTGGCATGTAACAGAACTACAAACGTACCAGAATCCATTTGACGCGAGACTGTGCATATATGATGACATTTCGGAAACGTGCCCGGGGGCGTGCAGAACCCGTCCAAAGGTTCACTTCAAACACGTTTTGTGTCAAACACGTCATAAGTTAACCCCCGTTTTCGCAAAGTGCTTTTCCCCAACGAATCCCAGCTCCGTTACAGGTGCGAAAAAACCTCGCTCTATTGGGTAACCTCTCATCCCCAGATACTGTACCCCGCAGCGTTACTGCAACAGTCAAACTTGACTGTACACCAGGGCGAACTCCAAACATTTCCATTTTCCGAGTCGTACACTCAGAACTGGACAGGAAATGTTTGGAGTTTGCCCTGGTGTACAGTCAAGTTTGACTGGTGCATTGACATAAAAAATTAGGAAAAAACGGGAGTGTGCAAAGTTGGACCCGCCCCTAACCCTCTGAACCGTCACGACTCCCCCCACCTCCCGCCTCCAACCACTGGTCAGGTCAGCCAAAGTCTTCAATTTCCTCCTTTGATTCAAAGCACGCCGACAGTCTGTGCGGTGCAGAGCGTTTAGCACAAATCCGAGATGTTTCTATATGTTTAACGGCGGGCGAAAAAGCGGTTGACATGGTCGAACTTTTGATATCTACCGATTTTTCACAGACCACACCAACCAACCTTGCAAGCTGGTTGACCTTGCATATCACACCGCACTTCCCTTGCGTCGGGAAATTACCCCGCGTAGACATAGACGAGAGTAAGTTTCCGTGTTACTAGCCATTTGATAGCAGCTGGAGTCGACTTTCTCTTTTGCTCAAACGTCTCGATTTCCCGCGCTGCAACGCGCACAAGACAAACCGGACTCACGAACTCCTGAAAGGCGCAACGCGACAGACCCGTCGCCGGATCACGCGGTTCCGGCAAGGCGCGTGCGCGTAGGGTTCGGGCTCTGAGACTTAAACGTAGTGAGTACGTGACTTAGCAGGTCACGAAAGTAGCAGTAGCGGGCTCCAAACTGGATCTGAAAGTTGAGAAATCAGGTTGCTTTCTAACCCAGGTTGCAAACAGAAAGTTTCACTATGAAAAATTGATACAATGAGGAAAACAGAACATGATATTTAAGCAATCTGAAATCCGAATTTCAATGTGCGCCTCGCGTAACGCGCCTCGTCGCGAATCCGAATTTCGTAACAGTAACCTGTCAGATTATTATAGCTGATGCATGTTTGTAGGCTATAGTGGGGTAGCACATATGGGGTACAGTTTGCTAGGGTTGTATTTGTACCCAACTCTGACTTAGTCAATTCATTCCCGTTCAGTTAGTTTCACATGGTATAGAGCGGGTCCCTCCTAAGGACCGTCCTTTGGGCCCACCCACAATTTTTTTTTTCCTGCCCGGAGCGCGCCCTATTCTCCCCGAGGCGCGCTCCCCCTAGTGCGCGTCGAGCTGCCCTTGTGGCGCCCCGAGAGTCGCTGCGCGCGACTCATTTTTTTTCGCGCGCGCGGCCTAGGCCCCACTTCGCGCGGCCCTTACAGCCGCGCCGCGCCGCCCTCTCGGCTCTGCCGCGCCGCGCCGCCCTCAAGACGGCCGCGCGGCCTCTTCGTCGCTGCAGCAGGCCCCCCCCCGCTGCACCTCTGTCGGCCCCCGCAGCCGCCTTACCTGACGGCCGCCGCCTCACCTGACGGCCCGCCGCCTCGACTTCTGGCCCGCCACCTCACCAGACGGCCCCCCCCGCCTCACCTGACGGCCCCACCGTCTCACCTGCTGGACCGCCACCTTACCTGACGGCCCCGCCGCCTCACCTGACGGCCCGCCGCCACCTTACCTGACGGCCCCGCCGCCTCACCTGACGGCCCGCCGCCTCACCTACTGGCCCGCCACCTGACCTGACGGCCCCGCCGCCTCACCTGACGGCCCGCCGCCTGACCTGCTGGCCCGCCACCTCACCTGACGGCCCGCCGCCTCACCCGCTGGCCCGCCACCTGACCTGACGGCCCCCGCCGCCTCACCTGCTGGCCCGCCACCTGACCTGACGGCCCCGCCGCCTCACCTGACGGCTCGCCACCTCGCCTGCTGGCCCGCCACCTGACGGCTCCGCCGTCCCCTGTCCCGGCCCCGCCGCTGCACCCTAACGGCCCCGCCGTCCCCTGTCCCGGCCCCGCAGCTGCACCCTGACGGCCCCGCCGAGCCGCCCAGCAGCAGCCGAGCCGCCCAGCCGCAGCCGAACCGCCCAGCAGCAGCTGAGCCGCCCAGCAGCAGCCGAGCCGCCCAGCAGCAGCCGAGCCGCCCAG